ACATAGGCCATTCCCTGAGTCTTGACTTCTAAAACAATTTCCTAGATTCTGAAGGGTCACTCTTCTGCTCACTCACAGCCTTTGCTGACTATATTTCTTTCCCTTCCTTTCTCTTCTCAGGGACCTTGTTCACAATAGTGGAAACAGTGGCCTTGGGCCATGAGGGGTCAGGAGCAGTGGATGTGGTTCTGGAAGCACGAGACCACGGGGCTCCAGGCCGGGCAGCACGAGCCACAGTGCATGTGCAGCTTCAGGACCAGAATGACCACGCCCCGAGCTTCACATTGCCACACTACCGTGTAGCTGTGACTGAGGACCTGCCCCCTGGCTCCACTCTGCTCACCCTGGAAGCTACCGATGCTGATGGAAGCCGTACCCATGCCGCTGTGGACTACAGCATCATCAGTGGCAACCGGGGCCAAGTCTTCCAGCTAGAACCCAGGCTGGCTGAGGCTGGTGAGGGTGCTGGACCAGGCCCCCGGGCACTGGGCTGCCTGGTGTTGCTTGAATCTCTAGACTTTGAAAGCCTGACACAGTACAATCTAACGGTGGCTGCAGCTGACCGTGGGCAGCCACCCCGAAGCTCAGTTGTGCCAGTCACTGTCACTGTACTAGATGTCAATGACAACCCACCTGTCTTTACCCGAGCATCCTACCGTGTGGCTGTACCTGAGGACACACCTGTTGGAGCTGAGCTGCTACATGTAGAGGCCTCTGACGCTGACCCTGGCCCTCATGGCCTCTTGCATTTCACTGTTAGCTCGGGGGACCCATCAGGGCTCTTTGAGCTGGATGAGAGTTCGGGCACCTTGCGACTGGCCCATGCCCTGGACTGTGAGACCCAGGCTCGACATCAGCTTGTAGTGCAGGCTGCTGACCCTGCTGGTGCACACTTTGCTTTGGCACCGGTGACAATTGAGGTCCAGGATGTGAATGATCACGGCCCAGCCTTCCCACTGAACTTACTCAGCACCAGCCTGGCCGAGAATCAGCCTCCAGGCACTCTCGTGACCACTCTGCATGCAATCGATGGGGATGCTGGGGCTTTTGGGAGACTCCGCTATAGCCTGTTGGAGGCTGGGCCGGGGCCTGAGGGCCGTGAGGCATTTGCACTGAACAGCTCAACAGGGGAATTGCGTGCACGAATGCCCTTTGACTATGAGCACACAGAAAGCTTCCGGCTGCTGGTGGGTGCTGCTGATGCTGGGAATCTCTCAGCCTCTGTCACTGTATCAGTGCTGGTGACTGGAGAGGATGAATATGACCCCGTATTTCTGGCACCAGCTTTCCACTTCCAGGTGCCAGAAGGTGCCCGGCGTGGCCATAGCTTGGGTCATGTGCAGGCCACAGATGAGGATGGGGGTGCTGATGGCCTGGTTCTCTATTCCCTTGCCACCTCTTCCCCCTATTTTGGTATTAACCAGACTACAGGTGCCCTGTACCTGCGGGTGGACAGTCGGGCACCAGGCAGTGGAACAGCCACTTCTGAGGGTGGAGGCCGGACCCGGCGGGAAGCACCGCGGGAGCTGAGGCTGGAGGTGGTAGCACGAGGGCCTCTGCCTGGTTCCCGGAGTGCCACAGTGCCTGTGACCGTGGATATCACCCACACTGCACTGGGCCTGGCACCTGACCTTAACCTGCTATTAGTAGGGGCCGTGGCAGCCTCCTTGGGAGTTGTGGTGGTGCTTGCACTGGCAGCCCTGGTCCTAGGACTTGTTCGGGCCCGTAGCCGCAAGGCTGAGGCAGCCCCTGGCCCAATGTCACAAGCAGCACCCTTAGCCAGTGGCTCACTGCAGAAGCTGGGCCGGGAGCCACCCAGTCCACCACCCTCTGAGCACCTCTATCACCAGACTCTTCCAAGCTATGGTGGGCCAGGAGCTGGAGGACCCTACCCCCGTGGTGGCTCCTTGGATCCTTCACATTCAAGTGGCCGAGGCTCAGCAGAAGCTGCAGAGGATGATGAGATACGCATGATCAATGAGTTCCCCCGTGTGGCCAGTGTGGCCTCCTCTCTGGCTGCCCGTGGCCCTGACTCAGGCATCCAGCAAGACGCAGATGGACTGAGTGACACATCCTGTGAGCCACCTGCCCCTGAAACCTGGTATAAGGGCCGAAAGGCAGGGCTACTGCTTCCAGGTGCAGGAACCACTCTCTACCGAGAGGAGGGGCCCCCGGCCACTGCCACAGCCTTCCTGGGGGGCTGTGGCCTGAGCCCGGCACCCACTGGGGACTACGGCTTCCCAGCAGATGGCAAGCCATGTGTAGCAGGTGCACTGACAGCCATTGTGGCCGGCGAGGAGGAGCTCCGTGGCAGCTATAACTGGGACTACCTGCTGAGTTGGTGCCCTCAGTTCCAACCACTGGCCAGTGTCTTCACAGAGATTGCTCGGCTCAAGGATGAAGCTCGGCCATGTCCCCCAGCTCCCCGTATCGACCCACCACCCCTCATCACTGCTGTGGCTCACCCAGGAGCCAAGTCTGTGCCCCCCAAGCCAGCAAACACAGCTGTAGCCCGGGCCATCTTCCCACCAGCTTCTCACCGCTCCCCCATCAGCCATGAAGGCTCCCTGTCCTCAGCTGCCATGTCCCCCAGCTTCTCACCCTCTCTGTCTCCTTTGGCTGCTCGCTCACCTGTTGTCTCACCATTTGGGGTGGCCCAGGGTCCCTCAGCCTCGGCACTCAGCGCAGAGTCTGGCCTGGAGCCACCTGATGACACGGAGCTGCACATCTAGCTGTGGCCCAGGCTGGGCCCCGACCTGGGATGCGTACAGTGTCCCCAATGCAGGTCCTACTCTGAGCCTGCCCTGGGCAGCCTCAGACCATGACTGGCTACGGGGAGGCCACTACCAGGCCCCAGCTCTCCACCGTCAACTCCCCAGCCCCCTCAGAGCACTAGGACCACAGAAGCCCTGTTGGTCACTGACCTGTGGCCAGGTCCAATGTGGGGAGAAATATGAAGGAGGTAGCAGCCCTGGGTTCTCCTCAGTGAGGGCTCCCTGCTCTGCACCAGCACCCTGAGATGGAGCTGAGACTTTATTTATTAGGGGGTAGGGGGATGGAGGAGGTCCCTCCAACATATTTGGACCCAGCTCCTTTGGGTTCCACTGACCCCCCTGCCCCTGCCCAGAACCAAGTGCCAATTCTCACTCTGGAGCCTTAATAAACTGCAATTTGTATCCGGTCTCCGGCTTTGTCAGATAGGGATGACTGGAAGACACCTGGCAGAGTACTGTGGACACCTTGGGAGGCACAGAGCGGTGGTGGGGTAGGGATGGCACTGGGAGCTCAGGAGCCTAGCCTGAGGCTGATGATCACATCTCTCTGCAGCTAATGTTTTCCTTCTACTATGAGCAAGAGGCCAGCAGGGCCTTGAGAGGGATCGGTTCGGTGGGAGAGGGGATTGGGGGATGACCAGCTCTGGGCCTGAGGTTCTTAAAATAGATTCAGGTGGATACAAGAGCAGTCAAGTGGTTTGTTTTTGTTGGGGCCACTAAAAATCCATATTGTAATAATAGGTCAATCTGTTGAAACTTTGTCATGTCAGGCTCTCTGCAGCAGGCTGTCTTGCTGCAACTCAGTGTAAATTTTCAGTCGTACAAAGGGATTTGAGAACCACTGGTGTAGACTGTTCTGTGGGAGAGCCAGACTGTGAGAAAAAAGCAACTGGCCAATGTTTGAGAAGTTCATAGGATTGAGGAAATTGAAAAAAAAAAAAAAAAAGGCTGTGCATGGTGGCTCACGCCTGTAATCCCAGCACTTAGGAAGCTGAGGCAGGCAGACCACCTGCAGTCGGGGGAGTTTGAGACCAGCCTGACCAACATGGAGAAACCCCATCTTTACTAAAAATACAAAATCAGCCAGGCATTGTGGTGCATGCCTCTAATCCAAGCTATTCGGGAAGCTGAGGCAGGAGAATCACTTGAACATGGGAGGCAGAGCTTGCAGTGAGCCGAGATCGTGCCATTACACTGCAGCCTGGGCAACAAGAGTGAAACTCTGTCTCAAAAAAAAAAAAAAAAAAAGGTTGTGGTCAAAGATAAATGTTTCTGAGCATGGTGCTAGTAAATACAGCTCTAGGATCCAAGCTCAGTGAAAAAGTAGAGAGATCAATGGACAGGAAGAAGTCAGATTAATAGTGAGGAAAAACAATAGCTTGAAAAACCAGAAGGTTATAGTCTATGAGAGGATTCTATAATTAGAATTTCAAAGGTAGAGCAGTTTTGAGAAACAGCAAGTCCAAGTGTAGTCATGGGACTGGTCTGCTCAAGTGAAGTGAATGGGTTTAATGAGATGAAAGAAATGGAAGGTTAGGGTGTTGAATTATCTTTTATCTAGATATTTTGATCATCTAGATCAAATGATCACAGGAGTTGGGGTGGACAGAAAGGTGAAGTGCCATAATCTTTAGTGTGGGGATATAATCTGTAGGTCTATGGATATCAGTGGCCTGTAGGACAAAAGAAAAGAGTATTGAGGTCAGAACAAGGGATTTCACATGAGTATTGGATTAACGGTTTTGGAAGTTAAAATGACACTGCTGACATCAACTTCCATATGGATTTGGAAAAAAAAAATAGAAGACTGCAAGGGAATTGAATCCTCAGGGTACTGTCAATGAAAATTCTCTTGTAATGACCCCAATTAGAAGTAGTCAACTCAGACCTCCTTGTAGGCTTTGAGTTACCATTAGGAAGAAGCAAAGATCTATTTCCATCTTATCCACCTGAGCCCACTAAACAAGATGCAAGATTCCTCCATGGCTCTTGGAACAAAGCTGATTTCCTTGAAAACTTTAGGAACCCATAACAAACAGGAACCCAGCTGATTGTAGATCTCCCGGGAAGCTACTTAAAACTGGAAACTGATTTGAATAAAAGGATCCTGATCTTTCAAAAGCTCTACTCTGTTCATAAATGTAGTCCTAGAATGAACACAAAATTGATAACACGGGGACATAGAGGGTAAGGGAGGAAAAAAATTTTTTTCACTGCAATCTTTCAAGGCAGATCACTTATATAAGTCTCCATATTGTAAATGCAGAAACCAGGCTCTGAGAGGTTATTTTGCTGATACACACCTAGGAAGAACCCCAGTCTGTGGGTCTCCAGAGCCTACTCACTTATAGTGATTCCCAGGGGACCAGGCTCAGGACGCAGGTGGGGAGCCCTGGGCTTAGTGCTTGGCTGGCCAGAGGGGAGAATCCGAGTGGCAGCCCTACCCTTGCCTAGCATTCAGGACCACCCATGCAAGGGAGGAGCCAGCACCGTCACTAGTTGCTAGGCGGAAAGTGGTGGCGGTGGTGGAATATAAGGCTCATGTGATCTGTCACATGACAGTAGACCTGCGGAAGGGCAGAATGGGACTCCAAGCCTGGTGAGAAACTGAGAGGGCTTGGGAGAAAGGGATAACGTTGGAGGGAGTACATGTTGGGAAGGTGGGAATACAAAGACAATCTAGCTCCCACTGAAAACCACCTGCTGCTCCTACAGCCTCCTAGGGCTCTTTGCCCTCATCCTCTCTGGCAAATGCAGTTACAGCCCGGAGCCTGACCAGCAAAGGACGTGAGTTGACTTAGCAAAGACCGCCCCCTTCCCCATGCCCTGTTCTGTCTCCCACTGTCCTGGTCCTAGCTTCCCTCACCCCTGTGCCAGCTCGTAGTACACACTCCATAGCTTCATCTCCAGGTTCCCAGGCTCAGTCCCCTATCATTTACCTCATGAGATCTGTATCTGCTCCTAGGGATCCTACCCAAGGTCTCAGCTCCTAATGTGGAACCTTCCATAACCAATATTTTCCATCTCCTCCCCAACCAAAGCCATGTCCCTGACCCCTAACCTTACAGGCTGCCCTCAGGCTGGGTGTCCCTGGGCCGTGCGGACCCTGAGGAAGAGCTGAGTCTCACCTTTGCCCTGAGACAGCAGAACCTGGAAAGACTCTCGGAGCTGGTGCAGGTTGTGTCGGATCCCAGCTCTCCTCAATACGGTGCCTGTTGGGACTGGGGACAGGATGTGGGATGCAGTGGAGGGACATAGGGCTAGGTTGGGCATGGAATAGTGATGATGTCAGGGCCTGCCAAGACACTTGTATTCCTCATGCTAGAAATCTAGAAGGGGATATGGTTCAGCATGCAGGCTTTATGGTCAAATATGGACTCAAATTCTGACTCTGCTACTTACTAGCTACCAGGCAAATGGGGAAATAGCATCTGGTACAGCTTAAGTTCCTCCCCCTACTCTCGAATCCATTCTAATTTCCTCTTCTATTCATATACTAAGGCTGCCAGTTCTAACTCCCAGAGAGCCTTTGTATTAGTCTACTTCTTGCTGTCCTTTGTTACCACCAACTCAGTTGTTTATTCCCTCTCCTGGACTACTGCCCAGCTCCCCTACCAATCTGCAGTCTTCTCCTTCCACACCCCTCCTCACTGTACTCCCCTACTTTGCTTCAAAAGTCTCTCCAACAGTCAAAATGGATTGGATCCTTCTCCTAGTTAAAGCTCTTCACAGCAGGGGAGAGTGTGCACATGTGACAGCAGAGGCTGGGGAGGGGGCAGTGTGATTCACCCAAGGTGAGCACTAGTGTGCATGGCGGGAAACAGTGACTCACCATCGTGTTAAGTTTAAAATCAGTAAGTATGTAAATCTGAGCTAAACTGGATAACTGGTGCCAAAAGTTTTGAAAACATTTACTGGAGATAAGCTTAAAATGGAAAATTTATTATGTATTAACCTCAATCATTTTTCATGATCATGGCAATATATGCTGTGGTATGGGATTTGCAACTTACTAGCCTTTAGGGTAAATATATATTCTTGGCCATGGCATTTCAAGTCTCTCCAGCCTTTTCTTCCTCTGCTCCCTAAATACACCCTACACCTGCACAGCCCTCCTTTACCCTGTTCCAGGCTTTGGGAAGTCCTGATTCCTCATAGTTGAGGTCCAAAGAGAGGACTTTGGGAAGTGAATGAGGGCGAGTGCCTATTCTGAATCCCTGCAGGAAAATACCTGACTCTAGACCATGTGGCTGATCTGGTGAGGCCATCCCCACTGACCCTCCACACAGTGCAAAAATGGCTCTTGGCAGCTGGAGTCCGGAACTGCCGTTCTGTGATCACACAGGACTTTCTGACTTGTTGGCTGAGCATCCGGTGAGAGAGAATGATTGCTCCATGGAGGGAACCAGTCATCCCATCAGTGAGATGGACGGGAGGGAGCTGAGGCCTTGCTGGGGCTTGTGGGTGGGAGCTAATGCATGGGGAGACAGTGACTGACTGCCCAGGGATGCTCAGAGGCAGCTTCTGTTCTGTTTTGAGCTTTCTGACCTCTGTTCTCTGACCTCCAGACAAGCAGAGCTGCTGCTCCCTGGGGCTGAGTTTCATCACTATATGGGAGGACCTGCAGAGACCCATGTTGTAAGGTCCCCACATCCCTATCAGCTTCCACAGGCCTTGGCCCCCCATGTGGACTTTGGTAATACCCAGTGGGGTGAATGGGGGTTGAGGCAGACAGACCCAGGGGCTGGGGAAGTTTAGATGCCATTGGGGACTGGGGATGGGGTATAGTAGAGTGGGCATTACAGTCTGTAAGATCTCCTCAAACCTGACTTCTCCCTACAGTGGGGGGACTGCACCGTTTCCCCCCGACATCATCCCTGAGGCAACGTCCTGAGCCACAAGTGGCAGGGACTATAGGTATACATCTGGGGGTGACCCCAAATGTGATCCGTAAGCGATATAACTTGACCGCACAAGACGTGGGCTCTGGCACCAGCAATAACAGCCAAGCCTGTGCCCAGGTGAGCCAAGCAAAGAGCCCCAGGGTCCTCATAGCCTCTGCTCAGTGTCCTCGGTGCCTTACCACCCTGGGACTCACCCTCAGACCCATGATCCCTGTTCTGACTCCCTCCATAGTTCCTGGAGCAGTATTTCCGTGACTCAGACCTGGCTGAGTTCATGCGCCTCTTCGGTGGCAACTTTGCTCATCAGGCATCAGTAGCCCGCGTGGTTGGACAACAGGGCCGGGGCCGGGCTGGGATTGAGGCCAGTCTAGATGTGCAGTACCTGATGAGTGCCGGTGCCAACATCTCCACCTGGGTCTACAGTAGCCCTGGTACTGCCAAGAGGACTGGACAGTGGGGAAGGGGGTGGGAGGTGGGTGTTGGTCCCTGCTACCTCAAGGGAATGCTATAAACTGGAGAGAGATCCTGACAATTCCCAATGACTATCCTTGTGCCCACCCCTCAAAAAAAAAAAATCCAGGCCGGCATGAGGGACAGGAACCCTTCCTGCAGTGGCTCATGCTGCTCAGTAATGAGTCAACCCTGCCACATGTGCATACTGTGAGTTATGGAGATGATGAGGACTCCCTCAGTAGCGCCTACATCCAGCGGGTCAACACTGAGCTCATGAAGGCCGCCACTCGGGGTCTCACCCTGCTCTTCGCCTCAGGTGACCTCCTGCCCTAAACTTAGACACCCCCTCCACCCTTGCAACCTGGAAACTTTGGCCCCACAGTGACCCCTGAGCCTGGTCTCTAACTCACAATCTAAACTGAGACCTTCCAACTGGGACCACTGACCTGACCTCTAAACTCTGACCTCCTGCAGTAATAGCTGACACCTAAATTTCCTCTCTGACATCTGAACCCACATACTAAGCCCTAACAAATTAATGAGTGCTACATTTGGTCTCTCTCAGGTGACAGTGGGGCTGGGTGTTGGTCTGTCTCTGGAAGACACCAGTTCCGTCCTTCCTTCCCTGCCTCCAGGTAAGAACTCTAGCCTACCACTCAGGTATAACCACCACCTTTCACTTGTGAACTCATGATGTAGAACCTTTGTCTTGACTCCACCATGTGCTCCTGTGGTTCAGCTTTAAGCTTTGCCTGTCCTGGCTGCTGCACTCCTGTCTCTTCTTCCTGTAGGTCCCAGTCCCCAAATCTCTTATGTGGGATACAGCTCCCACTGTTTCTTTTCCTCAGTCCCCAGGCATTTTAGTGGAAGATTTGGTGGATGTTCTACAGAGAAAAGTGTGCACAGTCACCTCAGGCCATGCCTTGAAGGCTCAAAAGTCTTAGTCAATCCCATATACATGCTTCCCCACAAAGTCTAATTTCTCCAGCAAGACCTGGGCCATACTCACCCCTCCCCACACATCTTGGAGGTCTGCTTGCATCCCCTACTATCTGAATGCTGTCTTCTGCCCTCAGCCCCTATGTCACCACAGTGGGAGGCACAAGCTTCCAGAATCCTTTCCGCATCACAAATGAGATTGTTGACTATATCAGTGGTGGTGGCTTCAGCAATGTGTTCCCACGACCTTCATACCAGGTACATGTGTTTATGTGGATGGATGCAGGGTGAGAGTGGGGATGGGGGATCCTCAGTTCAGCTGACTGCTGGGCAGGCCACAGGCCAATTTCTCATTCAAAAATGCCTTTCAGGAGGAAGCTGTAGCCAAGTTCCTGAACTCTAGCCCCCACCTGCCACCATCCAGTTACTTCAATGCCAGTGGCCGTGCCTACCCAGATGTGGCTGCACTTTCCGATGGCTACTGGGTGGTCAGCAACAGTGTGCCCATACCATGGGTGTCTGGAACCTCGGTGAGAATCAACCCATCTCCAAACTCTCACTCAGGAATTACTCTTACCCACTAACACCTTGAGCACCTTGTATCCAGAACCCAACTACTTAGAGATGTCTCATACTCTAAAGCTTTACTCCAAAAAAGTCCAGTCACTCAGAACCCCTGACTTCTACTTGCACCTTCACTCTTGCAGGCCTCTACTCCAGTGTTTGGGGGGCTCCTATCCTTGATCAATGAGCACAGAATCCTCAGTGGCCGCCCCCCTCTTGGCTTTCTCAATCCAAGGCTCTACCAGCAGCATGGGGCAGGACTCTTCGATGTGAGTATGGAAGGGAAGGGTGTGAACATTTTCATGCAACTATGGGGAGTGATAAGGGGTACTTGGGGGGCAGTTGGGATGCTGTTGATTGGCCTCTGAAATGTGAATATAGGGTAGGGAGGTATACTCTTTAAGTACTGGTACGAGCAGGCCCAGATCTGATGCCACCCTCCTCCCTAGGTAACCCATGGCTGCCATGAGTCCTGTCTGAATGAAGAGGTGGAGGGCCAGGGTTTCTGCTCTGGCCCTGGCTGGGATCCTGTGACAGGCTGGGGAACACCCAACTTCCCAGCTTTGCTGAAGTCTCTACTCAACCCCTGACCCTTTCCTATCAGGAGAGGTGACTTGTCCCCTGCCCTGAAGCTGGCAGTTCAGTACCGTATTTTGCCCTGTTGGAAGCCCTGCTGAACCCTCAGCTGCACACTGATGCAGACAACTTATCTCCCTAACCCTGAAATGCTGTGTGCTTGACTTGACTCTCAACCCTACCATGCTCCATCATACTCAGGTCTCCCTACTCCTGCCTTAGAATCCTCAATAAGATACTATAACTACCATTTTTTGAATGCCTCTTCCCCCACAGCTCATCTTCCTCTTTCAATCAGGCTTTTCCAAAGAGTTGTATACAGACTCTGTGCACTAGTTCACTTCATAATCACTCCTCAATTCATTGCAAGGAGAGCTCTACTCTCACCTTTTACTCTTTCCTATCCTGACATCCAGAAACAATGGCCTGCAGTGCATACTTCTCAATCTTTGCTTTATGGCCTTTCCATCATAGTTGCCCACTCCCTCTCCTTACTTAGCTTTCAGGGCTTAACTTCTCTGACCACTGTTATCTTTCTCCTTCATCAGCTTCTGCTTCTTCATGGAATGCTGATCTGCATTGCTCCATTCGTAGGGTTTTGCTTTTCTCAGTTTACTCATTGTCCCCTGGAACAAATCACTGACATCTACAACCACTATCATCTCACTAAATAAGACTTTCTATCCAAAAGTGATTGACACCCCAAATTTAAGACGTGTGATACTCAACATTTCATCTTCCACCTTCCCAACCCCAAACAATTCCATCTCTTGTTTCTTCTTGGCAAATGATGCTATGCTTTTTCCAACCAAGCCAGAAACCCATGTCATCTTTCTACTCCACCTTCAATCAACAAGTCCTACTGACTGTACCTCTTAAATATATCTTCATCAGTCCACAAGTCCTTCCAATTATATTTCCCAAATATATCTAGAACTTATCCACTTCTATCCCCACTACTACTACATTTTTTAGGGCCATGTTCTCCTGGAAAAACAAACAAACAAAAAACAACAACAAAAAAGTGTTCTTCCTGCCAACCCCAAACCATCTTCCAGAGTAAAATGCAAATCCCATCAGGCCACTTGATGAAAACCCTTCAAGGATTACTGGATAGAGTTCAGGCTTTTTTATTTTTCCAATCATAGTTCACAAACCTTCCTTGCTATTTGTTCCTAAGTAACAAATCATTTTTCCTCCTCCCTCCCCAAACTCCTAGAACTCTCACTCTTGCTCAAGCTGCTCCGTCCCCTTAACACCACCACCCTTGATAAAATTGCCTCGTTAATTTCCAGAATTCTTGCAAGACTCAGCTCAGAAGTCACCTTCTGTCATGAATGCTTTGATTCCCTGAGGCTACTTTATTTTGGTATGCGTAAAAAAACCCCTAGATTTTCTAAACAAAACCTCTTTGAATCTTGGTTCTGAAATGGACGAGGAGACCGACTGGGTCAAGTAAGTTTAACACCCTGAAGCTGTTTCCTCGTCTGTTAAGTGGGAATATCAATACCTGCCTTTCATAATAACGAGGAAATAAAGTGAAATAACGTTGATACGAATGCTTGGGACCTGGGAGTAGGTAGCAGATGTTAACGCCCTTCCTCCCTTGCACTGCACCCCCTGTGCCTACCTCTAGCATTGTAACATCCACATAGTATTGAAATGGCCAGTTTACTTGTTTGGCTTCCTTTCCAAGACCGCTGGTGCCTAGAGGACTAGAATCACGTCCTATTTAACTGTAATCCCCAGACCCTAGCTCAGGAGTTGGCAAATAAGAATTAAATGTCTGCTACATTGAAAACCCCACGTCTTTCACTCGCTGTGATTTTTGCGTAAGCTGTTGACTCAGGCTGAAACCCCTCCTCCTCCTACAGCAGCACTGTGTGCCGGCCCACTGCTGCCCCCACCTCTCGGGGCAGTTGGTGGAGAAGGGGGCTTTCCAAATCCACTACGAACCCTTAAAAGGCTGAATAAGGGAACTTGAAAGGATGCAGACAGGCAGGCAATCCGTAGTCGAGGGATGTAGGGCCATAAACCTCGAAGCAAGGTCTTGAACGTCAGGCAGAACGAGCTGAAAGAGGAGTCAGAGGAGTCCCAGATGAACGCTGGTTCCGGTCTCGACTGAATCGCCGCGGAGCACGGCACAGGCTAGGGCGGAATGGCGACGGCAAGCGCAGTTGGCCAAGGCTTGGTCTCCTCCCTTCAGCCTATTTTCTCTAACCCGCAGACCCGCTACCGGAGGAGGCGGGGAGCGGGCCGGAGAGTGCTAACAGTGACAGGCGGGGCGAGTCGTGGGCGCGTGACGTCACCCCAGGGTGTGCGCAGCGCGAGCGGAAGCGGAAGCGGCTCTGTTCGCCGCCTCTCCCACCGGCCCGATGAGCTGCAGCGGCTCTGGCGCGGACCCCGAGGCGGCGCCACCCTCTGCCGCCTCGGCCCCGGGCCCGGCGCCCCCGGTGTCGGCTCCCGCCGCGCTGCCAGCTAGCACCGCCGCGGAGAACAAGGCCAGCCCCGCGGGGACAGCAGGGGGGCCTGGGGCTGGAGCAGCTGCTGGGAGCACGGGACCCTTGGCGCGGGCCGGGGAACCAGCTGAGCGGCGCGGGGCAGGTGAGGACCAGGACGGGTGAGGGCGAGGGCAGCGCTTTGGACTGGGCCCAGCGGCGGTTGGGGGCAGAAGGTATAGGCAGACCTCGCTGGGGCCCTGCGCCTCCCACCTCTGTGTCTCATTTTGCTGGTTCTCCTCCAGCTCCGGTGTCGGCGGGTGGCGCGGCGCCCCCGGAGGGGGCCATGTCTAACGGGGTTTACGTACTGCCCAGCGCGGCCAACGGAGACGTGAAGCCCGTGGTATCCAGCACGCCTCTGGTGGACTTCCTGATGCAGCTGGAGGATTACACGCCTACGGTGGGCTTCCCGCCCGAACAAGGCTAACTAGCCTGCCGTCACAACTTTCAGCTACATCTCCGTGCTTTCCAGCGTCTTCTGTTTGCTTCCCTAGTCGCTCTTCTGATTTTTTTGCCCTCTGCCCCACAAACTGAGCTTCCTGATTACCAGGCCTATCCATTTCCCTCATCCTCCTCCCGCTCTGCTGACAGTTCTCTTAATTGATTTCTCAGATCCCAGATGCAGTGACTGGTTACTACCTGAACCGTGCCGGTTTTGAGGCTTCAGACCCACGCATGTGAGTAAACCCAGGGCAGGTTAGTTTTGGGTACTTGTGCAGTTTGTTTTTCATCTCCTTCTCATCTCAGTTTTTTCTCTCTAGAATTCGGCTCATCTCCCTAGCTGCCCAGAAATTCATCTCAGATATTGCCAATGATGCCCTACAGCACTGCAAAATGAAGGGCACAGCCTCCGGCAGCTCCCGGAGCAAAAGCAAGGTGTGAGGGGAGGCTCAATGAATCAGTAATTACCTTCCACAACAGTGGAGGCTTATCCTGCCACCCCCTTGGGGAAACTGAATCCTAGGGGAGGTATATGACTTACTCAGGGTCACCTATCTGGGATTGAAGTCTAGGAGTCCTGTGTTCAGTTGGTACTCTTCACTCTTTCCTCAGGACCGCAAGTACACTCTAACCATGGAGGACTTGACCCCTGCCCTCAGCGAGTATGGCATCAATGTGAAGAAGCCGCACTACTTCACCTGAGCCACCCAACCTAAATGTGCTTGTCTGTCCCCATGTCCCCACACCAGCCTGTTTTCATAATAAACTTTATTGTGACAGGCAGGGCTGATCCCTCCCATGTTGGGAGACACCATGTGGCAAGTGACAAAGCTCTGAGCCCACCCCTTTTGGGGCCACAGTGGTAGGGATTCGGGAAGGGGATGGACCCCATGGCTGGGGTAGTACCATGACTAGAGGCAGGGGAGGCAACCAGAGGCCTGCTGCTTTGGGGTGGTGCACTCCCCCAACCATGTCCTGACACCTTTGGAGTTTAGGCAAGGACTTTCCAGTCCTACTTGTCCTGCATCTTCTCCAGGATAGGCACAATCATATCAAATTTGGGTCGCTTTGCAGGGTCTTCATTCATGCAGATCTTCATGAGCTTACACACATGAGGGGAAATACCTGGTGGGATGGTAGGCCGAAGGCCTTCCAATGCCACCTGTGAATACAAGAAAAAACTGAGCCTTAGAATTTGAGTCTATCATGTAGAAAGAAGCAACTGGCTCTTGGGACAGGATTACTGTATATCCGAACAAATACAGAAGGAGCCCAGGCCCACTACAGTTATTTCCACCATCACCAATCACTCCCCCAACACAAATGTATGCTATTCTGCTCACCTTCATTCCAATCTCCATATTGGAGAGATCAGCAAAGGGTACCTCCCGTGTCACCAGTTCCCACAGAAGCACTGCAAAACTCCACATGTCTGCTGAGCGTCTGTTTGTGTCTTCAGGCTTCTTCTGCAGAGCTGGAAGGATAGAGCTTGTCTGTTCCAGCCCCCTGGCCTGTCCTGTCTCTGTCCCCTTCCACTACTGCTGAGGTGGTCCTTTTTTTATCTCCCAACGTGATACCCTCACCCACCTTCAGGGGCTACCCAGGCAGGTGCATACATGCGCCCAGGACATTGGAAAGAGAACTTGACATCAGCCATACTAATTCGGGCAGTCATGTCCTCATCAATCTGAGGAAGAGAAAATGGATAATGTAGAAGGAGGTAAGTCCTATACAGGGTAAAGGGCTTTGGGGCCTGGGGCAGGACTGAGCTTATGGCCTCACCATTACACTACGGCTATTCAGTGCATGTCGTGGGATGAGGGGTTCTAGTGTGTGTAGGAAGGCCATGCCCCTTGCCATGTCCAAAGCAAACTTCACAGCCTGGCTCTGGTCCACAACAAAATCTGAGAGGAGGCAAGAGTCAGTTCAAGAGGCTCACTCACCCTCTCCCATTTCCTCCCCAAGGAGATTCAGCATCCCTACTCACTGGTGCCTTCATGTAGTACATTGTAGAGGGATCCATATGGCATCCAGTGTGTGATGAGGGTAGGATGAGGAGCAGGTGGAGACTGGCAGGCACCTAGCACTGGGAGCACATTTGGATGCGAGAAAATCCTGGAATTGGGGGGAGTGGTTGAGACCCAGTATAAAAGATCTCTCAGTGCTATTCAGGGTTCCTTGGAACTAGCAGCTTCTAGGTTATGCCTTGTACTACCTGAGCCTGGGACACTCTTCATTGAAGTCCCTGCTCTTCCTTGTACTCCAGTCTCGAACCTTCAGCACCTTCACGACAATGTCATTGCCCTGCCAGCGGCCCTTCCATAGCTGAAGAACAGGTAGAGGTTAGGAGGCTTGAACCGTGGCTACCACTTCCTTGCCCACTAACTGGAGGAAAAACTTAAAACAGGTACGAAGCAGGTAATTTATGGGGGTTTAGTGAGGGAAGGACAAGAAGGGCAGGGGTCACCTCTCCAGAGTGATTCTCATTGAGCTTCGTCAGGAAGTTCAGCTGTTTGAAGTCAATGCCAGAGTGTTTGTTCAGGGTTCCATTTCCTAAGAGAGTGGGCAGGTCAGGTTCCCAGCTTCACCCTAACCCAGTATTATTTACTTGTACAACCCTTCTTCCGACAGTGATGACTCACGGGGCCGAGTGCGGGTGGTCCCCTTCCAGAATGTATCCTTGTATGGAATACGGTTGAGATTCTGGCCCATCTTCTCTGCCCGCTCTAGGGAAGAAAAACAACCTGAGCTGTGGTACAGAGGAAGAAGACAGGTGGGAAGGGACAAGAGGACACAAGCTAGCGGGTGGGGAGATGGACCTCGGAGAAGCTCTCTCAGGGGTGCCTTGGCTTTGTCCACAGGCATTTCTCCATACTTATTACAGATGCTGACAAGGGCCCCATTTGCCACCAGGTCCTGGAATGAAAAAGCCATTATAATGAGGGCCATTGCTACCTCTCTGGCAGTCACTGAACCAACCATGAACACACACACACATGTAGTACTTAATCCTGTGGGTGTCACACAGTAGTACTGACAGAAAGGGTTGAGGGTTCCAAAATCTCCCATCCAGGCCCAGATTTTACTTCCAACCCATCTCAGGACTTCAGGCCTGAGTACTCACCTCTGCCACTTGGTCTTGGCCCCAAAAACAGGCATAGTGCAGGGGCACGTTCCCATGTTCGTTCACTGCATTGATGTCTGCCTTGTACTGCAATAGCTGAACCCCATGGCCAGACAAAAAGAGGCAGAAGGTGCAGTCAGTCCCAAATGAGATACTGGGTCAGGGCATAGGAAAAAGGGGAAGAGTACACGTACTTTCTACTGTATTAACAGTGCCTGTGACTAACCCTCATGGCATGTATGTGATGTGGGTAACGAAGGGGTTTGTACATACCTTCTGTACAATATCACGGTGTCCATGACTGGCTGCCAGATGCAGGGGGGTGTCATCCCCACGGTTCATTACATTGATCCGTGCCCCCCGCATGATCAGCATCTCAACCACAGCAGAGCGGCCCTCTCGGCAGGCCCAGTGCAAGGGGGAGAAGCCATGATCGTCCCTTTGAGGAAGGGGCAATGGTCATTGAGCTGGAGGTGGGATGGGGCAAAGGTTTTGATTCCTGAAAAACTGATAATTACATACTCTCTGGGAAGGCTTACCTTTCTAGGACTTTGATTCTCATTCATGCCAGCAACTCCCAAAGCTGTCCATTTCAGACCTTCCCCTGAGCTTCAAACCAAACCAACTAGCTAGATACCTCAACAACCTCTATAAAAAATTTTGTTATCTTCACTATATCCCACATCTCATTTCATGAAGTGGTAGCACTCTTCCCCTTGTTTCTCCTGCACCCTTTCC